AAAAAATATTGTGAAATTGGGTCGTTCCCATGATGGTTTATGACCATCATAACTTAATTGCAGGGCTACAGTACCTGTACTATGGCTAATCAAGCAAGCCAACTGGTTTTGCAGAATTAATGCATTTAAGCTGAAGGAGTTTGCATGAACTTAGCTGATGTTTTACAGGGGAAAAACTGGAAAATGTCATTCTATCACCTCCTAAATGTCTGTTTCCAAAAAACTAAGCCTGAAGGTCTGCAAGAATTCAATATTTCCTAATGTTGAAGGGGGGTAGGTGGGAGATTCTTAAATACAGCCAGTTTCCTGTGATTAGAACTTTTCCTCTTGATCAAGAGCTTCTGAGAAATTGTCTTAACCATCAGATTCTGCAAGCTGAAAAAGTTTGAAAACCCCATTCCCAGGAAAGCACAGCATTTTTTCCCATTCTCCCTAGAAACTGTGATAATTAAGTATACTAAAAATCTCTCTCCACATTTTTTTAGCGGTTAGACTAGTCCTCTGTGCCATCTCTCGAGGAGAAATTAAGATAGGTACATTTAAAATTTATTTACTTCATCTGTTTGTATCCCACCTTTAATTTTACAAGTAACTCAAAGTGGTGAACATACCTAACATTCTTTCTCTCTCCTATCTTCTCCACAACAACAACCCTGTGATGTGGGTTGGGCTGAGGGAGGGGGACTGGCCCTGGGTCATCAGCCAGCTTTCATGCTTAAGGTGGGACCATAACTTTGTTTTCTAGCCTGGTGCTTTAACTACTTTTATCCAACAATTAAAGACTCCAAAATCCAAATTTGCAGCCGCTCATCCATCTTGCTTTTGAGAAAATAGAAATGGCTTTCATCTCGTCAGTCTGCCCTTGCTCTTCATTAAATGGCTGCCCTGGCATGTGTAACAGAATAAATCTCTGGAAGCAGGAAGATTTGCATGACGAAACTAAGCCCAGAATTGCAGTTTTTCTTTTAAGCAGATTTAGCCTTTCCTGGCCACAAAAGATGGCTTAATTATGTGGAAAATCAACTTACCACTGATCTTTGAAAAAAATACTGCAGCTAAGAGAGTATTTTTGTTAAAAATACTGCAGCTAAGAAAGGGAATAGATGTTCAGAACTAAACCCTAATTTGTTTCATGTCATGATTAATTTTATACATTAAACCCTAAATTCTGGCTTAAGAGTAGGGGGATGCTTACATTTCATGGATAATTTAACCAAAAGGGTGAGGAAGAGATGCATTACTCAATGTTTACCTTTGCACTGAATCATAAACTAAACCTGGCCTGAATTCCCATGGATTTAATTTAGTACAGAGGTCTCCAAACTTGGCAACTTCAAGACTTGTGGACTTCAACTCCCAGAATTCTCCTGCCAGAATTCTGGAAGTTGAAGTCCACAAGTCTTAAAGTTGCCAACTTTGGGGAGCCGTGGTTTAGTAGTTCAAAACTGGCCATTTTAAGATGTGTAGATTTCAGTTTCCCAAAATTCTCCTGCCAGTTGAAATTCACACAAAGTGCCAGTTTGAGCAACTCCAGTATTACGTTGCTCAGTCGGAAGCCACTGTATTGTATGAAGAAGGCAAAGATTTGGAGGAGGATCTGTAAAGAAGGAAGTGAGAAGTGGGAAAGTATGGATGGATGAATTTACAGCATTTATACAGATGCCCAACTTAGACACTGTGGGCAAAACAGCCCAATAGTAAGAAAAATTAACCATACATTCCTAAAACACACACAAATACATAAGTTTCTGAGATTATGATTATTTTTCTATTCTCTCTCAAACATAATTTTTTAACGTCTCTAGATAGAATATTCTTTATTGGCAAAGTGTGATTGGACACACAAGGAATTTGTCTTGGTGCAAATGCTCTCTGTATACATAAAAGATACATTTATCAAGAATCATCAGGCGCAACACTTAATAACAGTCCTAGGGTACAATAAACAATCAAATCATACTAGGAACAGTCAATAATAATCCTAAGGATACAAGCAACGAAATTGCAGTCATGCAGTCCTAAGTGGGAGGAGATGGGTGAAAGGAAGGATGGGAGGATTAATAGTGATAGTAATGCAGACTTAGTAAATAGTTGGACAGTGTGGAGGGAATTATTTGTTTAGCAGAGTGATGGCATTTGGGGAAAAACTGTCCTTGTGTCTAGTTGTTCTGGTGTACATTGCTCTATAGCAGGCTTGTCCAACCTGCGGCCCAGGTCACCTTGTAATGCGGCCCAGTGCTCACCCCAACCTTTGTGCCAGAGCCAGCGAGCAGGAGGAGGAGAAGCAGGCGCGAGGCAGGGCGAGGCGAGCGCCAGGCCAAGCAGCAACAGAAAAAGCAGGCGCCGTCAGAGCGCCACCTCCTGCTGTTGCCACCACCACCATCGCCGCCACTTCTGCCGCCACCGCTGCTGCTGCTTCTGCCTTCCAGCCCTGCCTCATCCAGCCGGGCCATTTGCAGGAGGAGAGGTAGGTGCGAGGCGGGTGAGCTTTCTCCCCACCCCCCGCAAAATTTGGCTGGAAAATAAACCATGATAAAAAAAAACCGTGATAAAAAAACTGTGATAAAAAATAAATAATTTTTAATAAATAATTAATAATAAAAACATCTCACTAACTTCATTTCCAAATAAATTTAATATGTTAACTATGTTTTCTATGGTTTTTTTGGATGATCAGGTATCGTTACTGTTATTTTATTTTATGTGCGGCCCAAACCAAATTTTCATCTTCTAATGTGGCCCAGGGAAGGTGAAAGGTTGGACACCCCTGCTCTATAGCATTGTTTTGAGGGTAGGAATTGAAACAGTTTATGTCCAGGATGTGA